AAACAGCCGCTAAATATGATCGAAAAATAGATATCTTCTAAATAAAGATTCTCATACCAGAAAAAATTTAAATAACAATTATCGGTTCCCTCCTCTCTTGCATACATACATACTTCGTTGTAAACAGTTTTCCAACCGATTTTGGTCAAACAATTTAAAATTTCTTTTGTTTTGCAGATTTTTGGTAGTGAAAAATTATAAATAAAAAATATATACACAGACATATACTAGAGTGGGTTTAGTTGTTCGGGCGAACGTTTTTCGATAAAGCACAGGGTATTTTCGGTTTCTATAGATCGGAAATTAATTTCAAGCCTGCGCATTTTTAAATGAAAAATTCAGTTGGATTTCTTGGAAAGGTTTTGAGTGTACAATTTTGTAGTGCATTCAATTGTAGTAAAATTAAGCGCAAGTACTTGCCGTTGATTTTTGGTAATTTTTTGCTGACGGCGTTGTGCATTTTCTTCCGTACAAAGTGCATTGACAGCAAACAGAATTTTAAACGGAAAAATCGGAAAGTATGAGTATATGTATTTCCAAAATATACTAATAGATAAATAAACAAGTAAAACATATGTCAGAAACTAAAATATAAACACTTTATATAGAAATTTTTTAAGAAAAGGTGAATACATTGTGCATAAACCAGACAAGGAATGAAAAAAGCATTAATTCTGTCAAAATTCATTTGCGCCTTAAAGAAAAATACTTTGTTTTTGTTATTTTCTGGCCTAGGAACGATTTATTTGGAAATATTTTTATTGTTGTTTTTTCACGAAAATGTTCAATAATAACGTCCTCAGTTAATAAATTTACTTAAATTATTATTTTTTGCCACTGAAAATGACCGTGTTAAATAAATTTCAAATTATTATTAATTTATTTGGCAACTTTTTTTTTAATTTTCTGATTTTCGGATGCAGAAGTGCTCCCAGAGCACCTAGATGTATTTCTGAAAATTTTCAAAAAAATGGCGCATACGTTTTTTGTTGGTTATGGCTCGAGATGTAAATAAAAAATGTTTTTATTGGGAGTGGGAGTATAGCTAAGAGCGGAGCTCTGAGCGAAATAAAATGTAAAAACCTTTGCTCCGAAGCCCTGATTTTTTCATTTGAAAATGCGCAGGCTCGAAACTCATTTCCGACCGATGGTTTTTCTTCTTCACTTTTGCTTGGAATTATCTGTAGAATACGAAAATATTATGCGTTTTAGTAAAAACAAAGAATCGACCCACCCTAATATATACACGTATACATACATATGTACGTATAAATAAAAGTAATTTACCGAAAAAACTTGTGATATACCAGCGCGCAATAATTGTGGTATGGCATTATCGATTACATCAATATCTTTGGAAAATCGATTTATAATTCTTCCAAGTGGTGTTGTATCGAAAAATTCCATCGACAAGCGAAACACATTTACTACCAGGAAATCATGAAGTATGATTGATGCATAAATACCACCCAGTGATATCGTCAAAACAGAATAGTAACTGAAAATCACTTCAGTCGCGTACGAAGTGCAAGAATATACATGGGTGTAGTTGTTGTTGTTTTTTTTTTTAATGTCATAAAAGAAAGTAATTAGAAAAGTTTATTAGTGAGAACATATGTATTTTTTTTTCAAGAGCATTTTTTACCAGTGCTATTTAATTTTTCTTTGACAACGGACAACATAGATTATTTTTAACCGCCGCCTCGAAAAGCAATGATTATCTGCGGAAGCTTTTTTTTGGGGGTATGCGAGCTTGCAAAATATGTATTAAAATAGGTTTTTTGAATGAAAGCGTTAATAATAGCTTATGAAAAACAATAACAGTTTATAGTCTGGATATTTTGAGAAATTATGATGGCGGCTAAGAATCGTATAAGCTTTTGAAGTTTTTTATGAAAATTTTCCTTCACTTTTTCAGTGTAGCGTAGCTAAGAGAAATTATTTGTTTTCTTGTGAGTATTCATGATGTAGCGGGTAAATATGTATAAAGCAAATGTTGAAATGAAAATTAAAAAACAAAAAAAACTAAAGAGAGAGTATGCACATCAGACCTATCCTATGTATGGATAGAAAATACTTTCATAGTGAGTGTTCAAAATCAGCTTCGAACAAATACAATTTTTTTTATGTTATACACTCCTTATGATAAGTGTGAAATGGAGTAAACAATGGTTGTCGGGTCTTATATGTGTATAAGAATTGAGATTTGATGTTTTGTGTAAATTTGTCAAAACAATGGTTGAGCTCAAACTGCTTTGTCCAAAAAAAAAAAAATAAATATATTTTTTTTTTCAAGTTTATTCGAGTCTAGAAATACGAAATTTCCACCGTCCCCGTATCAGGCAACTTAGCTAACATTTTAGTTGTCCAAAAAATTAGTTACATACATGTATGGGAATTATGCAACTGTGCATTTTATTAAACTAAAAAATGCATATCTCAATCATGTTTGTTGCCTTGCCCAATAAATACTATAAATCGCAAGGATATATATTTTTTAATTTTACAATGGTTTAATGTGCGCAAAGCTTTTAAATTAAATTGCAAGTTTGTATTTTTTTTAATTTCGTGAGATCCAAGATCCAAGCATTAGATAGCAAAAGTGTATTGTTTTGTAAGCCAAGCAAAATTAATTGTAATAGCAAATACCATTTATGTACATATGTATGTATGTATGTATGTATGTTCATATATATGTAAGCTTGATGAAGTCATGAGAATGAAATCTGTAGGTATCTATTTCCATTATGATTCACACGATTTTCCAACTGCAAGCAGATTCGTTTCGTTTAATAAACAGAAAACACTGTACTATAACTTAAATGTATAGTACATATATAAAATACTGCTCCCTTAAGGTGGACTGAGGCTTCGCTAAAGACTATTCTCTTCACTCTTCACTTAAAGGTAACTTCGTCTACAGCTCATTTTATACAGCCGAAGAGGAAATAGCACACGCTCTGGTTGGCACTTCCGTGATTGCTGAAACCTAGAACTTGAGCTGGAACCTAAAGAAATTAGACAATTTTCCGTTGTTGTTGTTGTTGTTGTTGTTGTTGTTGTTGTTAAGTCGTTGTCGTCAAGTTCAACTAACGGAAGACCCAAGAAGCGTGCAGCCTCTATTGGGTCCGTCCACAGGGGCAGAGGCGTCAGTTGCGTGGGGTTTGCCGGGCATACGAAGAAATGTTTCGGGAAGTTCGAAGTTCCTCAGCGATATAATTAAACATACCAAACGAAAGAATGCATCAAACCAACAAAAACGCCAATCATTCCTTTTACCAGAATAAGCTTCCTTCCGAGCATGAGAGATAACACATTAGGTAGAGTTGTAGGCTGTGTTACCAGCGAAGTGAAGAATCTATGACTATACCTGTACACCAAAATTCTATTTGGAAAGCACTCAGTCGAAACCATGGGCAAAGGAACAAAAACATTATTGGTGTGCAAACTACAGTACAACTTATGGCATCATATGAGGTGGCGGTAGCTTTAACCTCACCGACTACCCTAACCACGGTGAGACAGCAACTAACAAGCTTCAGCGGTTTAGGGTTGAGTTGTACAGCAAAGCAGCATGGAGTCAGTCAGTATTAGAAAGGTGCCTACTGTTAAGTGCACACAGCCTTCGTATGCAAACCTTTCTCCTCTCGATGAGTTAAGCTCATCCGAAAAAAATTGGGGAAGCCGTTGTTTGCTATACTATTTCAGCCCTGAGGTAAAGAGCAAGCCACACTGGTGAACGAATGTAATTGCCGAACTTTGAAAGGAAATCAGGAATCTTTCTTGAGTGTCTTTTACGGTATCACAATGAGTCCATAGTAAAAAAACAAATAAATTATTTAATTAATTTTTATTAAATTTGTCTTAATAGCTCTGTTTGCAGCATCAAATCGTGTTTCATGCCGGTTAAATGTATTTTTTAATTTTTCTCAGTTAATGACATGATTCATGTAAGTATGTAGTTACCGAAAAACCTGTCGTCATTACGGACCGCCAATTCTGTGGTAATATATTATCGATAGAATCTACATCTTTCGCAAAGCGATTAACCACTCTTCCCAATGGTGTTGTGTCGAATAACTCCATAGGCCACCGCAAAACACCATATAATAGATTTGTATGTAATGTCATCGAACAGTAAAGGCAACCGATCGAAACGGCAAGTGTTGATAGATAGCTGGCAAGTACTATTTTAATTGTGGTTGAGAAAGAAGTACAGTTCGTTCATATAATCAAGTAAGAGAATATATGTATGCAAGTATGTATATGGTTTTCGCTTTTTTTCTTAATCAAAAAGAAATTTTTGTTTCACTGTGTATGCTTAGTAAATTTGGATTTGTAATAAAATTGAATTTAAGTAGCAATCCTCTTCCAATGCACTTGAACAAAGCAACTAATATTGAGTTTAGTATATCTATGTATATAGGTACAATTTAAGTGGCTACTGTTGTTTATTTACAATTACGTAGTGTGACATTCAACTAGTCAAATAAGGAATTGTGTATTAGTTTCGAGTTAAAGGGTACAAACAACTAAGAAGGAAGGAAGATCTCGCTTAGAAGTGATAAAATGTTTTAAAGGAAAACCAACACCATGTCATGTGAGAACTGTTCAATTTAAACAACAAAATAGCGACTAGCGTAAGTGTGTGAAAAATAAGCTTAATTAATGCAAACTCAAAATAGGAGAACTAATAAAATTTAACTATGTGAAAATTAAAAAGAAAAAATATCTATTCCAATCACCAAAACATAACAGTTGAATAAAAACATAAAATTAAAATATACAAAACTTTATAAAATCAAATAAAAAAATAAAAACATTAAAGTAGACATGTATGTAGCTTAGGCAAATAAAAGTTGGTAAAATGAAACGTCAGGCAGACATACAAATTCAAACAAAACATAAAACAAACACTAGACACTTTTGTACATTATATATTTAATATATATATATATAAATAGCTTCACTGATTAGAATTATAGAACTCATGTGCTTACCTTGTCCAAAACCGAAAGCACCATACACGCCCAAATACATATCACGCAAGCTAGTGTCATTTTCTACACGCTTATCATTGGACCACTGTGTGAGCCACAAGTTCGAACCAATTGAAAATGCCTGATAGACGAAATTCAAAATTAAGGTTGCGAGGGATAGGAAAATGCCAACACTTTTAATGTAATGCTTGTAAACAGCTAGTTGTACCTGTATAAATAAAATGATATTTCAATATAAAAATAACCAAAATAAAATATGAATAGAAATACTTACGCCACCGGTTTCCGATTTCTCAGTTTCAATTAGTTTACCCTCATCCACGGCCAATTTCTTCTGCTGCGACACTGTCGAAATAGCAGACACCACAGAATCTTGACGACCCGTTTTTCGTCGTCGCAAGCTGCCTTTACTGCTATCTAATGATTTCACAGAGCTGCAGCAAAGAAATGCAATAGAAAATGTTACTTAATTAAAAACAACAGCAACATAGACGAATGTGAATTCAAAATTGTTTGTATGACATAAATTGCATAAAAAATAGTGAATTGCCGAACAATTTCCGTCATCCCTTGTCAATTTCGGTTTGGGGACAAACCGGCTTCGGCGTTGTGCCATCTTCATTGTCATATTTCGTTCCACAATACATTATACTCATACCCTGTCGGAAACACCAACAATGAAAATGTGAATATAAAATAGGCCTAAACTTAACAATAGCATGGATGGTTTGCAGACAAACCAGTTTCGGCATTGTGCCAACTTCAGTGTAATTTTTTGTTCTCTCTGGTTCGAGCTTTTGTCCTTAATTTATGTTCATTTAACAGGTAAGTAATGTGATTTTCGTCGATGATTGAGGTATTAGATTATGGGTTGATCGTTGTATGGTTTTACCCGCAGGTAGGTAAAAGTCGGTGATTTTTGTCCTGGTACTACTTTTATTAATCTATGTACTTGTATTCGCCTTCGCATTCGACTTCACATTCGTCTTCTTATTTTACTTCATACACTAATAGAAACCAGAAAAAAGACGGCTATCGTACTTACACAGAATCCGATAAACTTTCAGTACGCGCCAACGATATGACCTTTTCGAATGTACCCAGTAGTTCTTCTGATTTCACAGTACCCTCCAGCTGTTGTTTAATCTCATCCAAATCCTCTACTTCCTCCGCAGCCTCTTGCAAATGTTGTATTATGAATTCAGCAAAGGCACCTTTACGCGCCAACAACTCCTGATAGGTACCACTTTCGCTAATCTCACCCATTTTCATAACATATATATTATCCGTTTGTGGCAGGAACGTAATGCCATGTGTTACCAGTACACGTGTCTTCTTCGCCAAGAGACCATTCGGTCCGACCACTTCTTCGAAAATATGTTTACCCACATGTGAATCGACAGCACTTAACGGATCATCGAGCAGATATACATCGGCATTACTGTAAACAGCGCGCGCCAATGAGATACGTTGCTTTTGACCACCAGATAAATTAATGCCCTTTTCACCGATTTCAGTCTGATCGCCTGCCGATAGCATTTCAATATCTGAACGCAGTGCACAAGCATCTACAACGCGATTATAACGCTTGCGATCATATTCCAAACCAAAGAGAATATTATCACGCACAGTGGCATTTTGTATCCATGCCTGTTGCGGCACATAGGCAATCGATCCGACGGTGTTTACGCGACCTGACAATTTATCCATCTCGCCAAGCAGCGCTTGTATGAGTGAAGATTTACCCGAGCCAACAGTGCCAACAACAGCACACAATGTATTCTTTCTTACGGTCATATCAATATTTTTCAATGTCTCTTCGCCTTCACCCCAAGAGAATTTGCCTTTTCTAATGATCAAGGGATCACCTATAATGGGAATTGAATTATGAGTCAGAAAAATACAAATTTGACTAGTTTTGTAATGTAAACTTACATTCTTTAGGATCATGCTGTACACTGTTTGGATCCAACTCCTCGCTATTCATAAACTTGTTAATACGTTGCACAGATACTTGTGTCTATTATTGTTGTTGTTGTTGGAGGGGAAATGAAAAAAAAGTTAAGACATTAGCTTTAATGCTACTGTATTTTATTACATTTAATTTACAGGCATGAACGTGCAGTTGTTATTGTTAGCATAGGCAGGCAAAAAACGTTGGGTGAATTTTTTAGTTTTTTGATTTTTTCGGTTTAATATGTAAAGTATACAAATTATTTTAAAATAAAGATTTTATGGCCAGCACCAGTCGTCTGTCTCTATATTTTGAGTTTTTGTAAATAAGTTTTTGAAATATGTATTTAGCTGTTATTTAAATCCCTACCAGATAATAGCTGGTGATTTAAAATATGCGCATGCTTTTGAATGTTTATGGGTAGAATTTCAAAATTTACCAATTTTGGGAATAATTTTTGCCAATTAATCTTTTGAAAAATCTTTAAATAATCACAGTTACTGGGTATTACATAGACGCATTGTTTAATTTGAATTTGTTGCCGAACCAATCGAAGTAAAAATAAAAAATAAAAAATAAAAAAATGCGAGTGCGCTTAGCACTTGCAATGTTTTGATGTGAAACATGTTAACAGCGTAGGCAATTTGTGCCGTTATTGCATAGGACCATCGATTATGCATTTCATTTCATTTTATTTTTTTATATTCAACTTTCGGCGTTTTTCTTCTATTTTAAATAAGTAATGTATTTCCTTATTTGTTAGGAATTCATATTCCTATTCTTATGGATATTTGCGCTCGTATTTGCCTGCAATACAACAGCAGTTCTTTGGTGCTGATACTGTGCGCCTACAGCTGTTAAAGGGTTAACATTCATATGTAAAGTTAATAACAGAGCAAAATCTCAGCCCGCCAAAATCCACTGAAGATGTTTTGCACTGCAAAAATAATGTACAAATGTATTGTGGTTAAAGTGGTTTACATACAAATTAATCAAGGAAATTTATCTCTTTGCATTCCAAAAATTTGTTATCCTTTTTAAAGCAAACAGAATATCAAATAACAGTGCTGTGGGCCTTTAACTTGGTATGAAACTGTTAGATGACAGCTGTTAAAAGTTTGGCCTCTACTATGTTAATAATAGAGAACAATTTTAGGCGGCCGATACTGGAAAAGTTTCACATCAAAACATAATTTATAATATTATAACAAAACATAAAACACATAAAAACATACAAATTATAGAAGACATCGTTGTACAAACATATTTACATTCAACAAAAAATTGTTAACTATTTTAAAACAACATAAAACGTTTTTTTTTTTGTATTTTGTTGTTTTTTTTTGGTCGACTTACTTGTACCATGTTGGATATCAACATGGGCAACATTATTAATGGGAAGCGTAAAATGTTGAATAATGATAATGATACGAATATTTTAGTTGCATCAAGAATATTGTTTTCATCAATTAAAACATACGTAGCGAATGTGACCAATGATACCTAAAAGTATAGAAATAGAAGATAAGAAAATTGCTTGTAACGAAAAAGAACATGCAAAACTAAATATCGCTCATTTATGTACTTCAATTGTGTCATAATCCAAAAATACAGAATTTGAAGTAAGTATGCAGAAATTACCGCTTTTTCTATGTTGTATAATAATTTCATAACCGTATCGATTACCAGTATCTCACTAAAACAAAATTTGTATTCATTTTAAATATGGGAGTATATGTAAATTCAAAACATTAAAGCCGTTAATCTCGAGTTTTGCTTTTTTGAGTTATGATACTATTGAAAATTAAATTAAATGAGCGATAGGTAGTAGTTATTGTATGTATACAGAAAGAGCCATTTCACAATTAATACAGAAATATGTACGCGAAAACGTAACTAGCCGTTGAACACTTCGCTTAACAACTCAGCGTAGTGTATGAATATTCATAATTCCACATGAGTAGTGCGTGCCACCATATCTGCATTAAGATGCTAAAAGAGGTTTGTCAAAGGAATGAACGAGTTTTTATGCTTTTGTAATCGTTGTGCATATGCATATACGCTCCAGTATGTAGTTAATAAGTGGTTTCAAAAATATCCGGCAAGTTGATAATTTACCTCAGCAATATCGACAGCTAGCATGGGCAAAGTGGCCAGTGGTAGTTTCATCGTATCGAACAGCGCTAGGCTAACGAATACTTTGGCTACGGTTAGGTGATTTTCATCACTCGATAAAACGTATGTGGCAAAGGTAACTAGAGAAACCTTATAAATACAATTTGTTTATAGAAATTTAATTTAATTTTTAGTAGTAACTATATTTAATGTTCCAATAATTTTTGTGATGTAAAAACGCTGAAAAGAAAAGAAAAATATGTTTGTTTGAAGCTTTCGTAAAGCTTACCAAGAAGGGTGCACAAGACCATAGGAAGGAGGTACCAGCGTTCAGGTATGCTGTGGATTTTAAAGTTGCTATTTCCTTTTCACGTATACGCAATACTTGATTTTCGAAACTTGGTTCCCAGGCGTATAATTTAAGTACCTACAAAACAAAAGTGTAGCAGATTACGAATCTAATTAGTTTCATTTGACTAAACACATAAATTCCATCATCTTACCTTGATACCGCTCAACACCTCATTCATTAACTTGACACGCTCATCCTTGTACTTCATTTGTCTTATTTGATATACTTTAATGCGATTGGCAATAACACCGTTGACTGGAATCAAAATAACCATCACTGCTAAACCAGCTAGCACTGAGGGTCCCAATTGTAGCCACAAGAAGTACATAGCTAGCGCAATTTGTAATGGCGCTGACCAAATCATATTCAAATATGTTGTTAAATCCATAAAGCGTTGTGCATCGACCGCCATTAAATTTACAATTTCGCCTACTGTCGATTCCTTACGTGTTGCATTCGATATAAGTAAAGCTTTGCGATATATTGCATTGATCAGCGCTGTGCGTATACGTAGACCAACAACGAACATGCGATGAAAATACTGTCCCAACATAAAAGTTTGTGCACCAGCAGTAATAAAAAGAAGTGCCGCATAGAGTATGCCCTTCCATTGGGGTTGCCTGTCCTTTTCGTCATCGGAGTAATCTTCCACAAAACCAATAATTAAACTTAGCACTTGAGGTTGTGCAAAAGTTAATACATCGCAAATCAACTTCATTAGCGAACCAAGCAAAAATACTCCACCAAATGATTTAATGATTGGCGGCATAATTGAAGTCACACCCTTCTTGCCGGTATTTCGTCCATGTGGGTTTTCAAACTCTACTTTTCCATTACTATATTGAGCCTTTGGTTGGGTTGGAGTTGGAGTCCGTGTTTTAGTATTCTTACGCACATTCTTATTCCAATAGTAAGCAAATATTGGCATGACTTCTTTACAGCTGTCTTGTGGGCGCAAGTCCCAAAGGTCCTTCTCTTCCAAAGGATTACGATAGCCTTTCCACGCCATAACATCAAACCATGTGTATGTTATACGCGATAAGAAACTAGCCGAACTCTCTGGTATTTCGTTCTACGGAACATAATAGCATATAAAAAAATGTGAAGGAAAATGTTTTGCTCTTTAAACAAACTTACATAAGTGCGTTTGTATTTAGTTTCCCTTGGCATGGCATCCGCGAAACAATTCAGCAGTAGCATAGCGCATGAAAATGCGAAATAAATCATGTAGCTCACATAATTGTATTCTTCCCAAGAATAATCAGGTTTATCTGCTACTTCAGAGTTCAATATCTTGTTTCTTTCATTTTTCTCCCGCACCTCGGTACGACATTGAGGTATTGAAAATATTACAAGCAGAAACCAAAAGAGAAATTGTGCACCCGATGTCTGCACACCATATTTTCGATTTAGTGGTATAAAAATGAACAGCAATAACTGCAGTGGTTATATAGAAAAGATCATTTACCATTTGATTAATCAATTTACATATATTTACTTACAAATGTAGCAAATTTTATTATTGGTCCCCATATATCGACTGGATAAATACGGGTAGCCGTCCCTTCATCTCCTTTCTTCACCATTGCAATCGCAAAATCTACAGCCGAAAGCACAAGCAACGCCCCATTCACCGCTAATTTGCTTAAATTAAGCTTATTCCATGGTATATTCTTATCTAAACTCGCTTTTAGATAGTAAAAATCAAATATGGAGAACACCCAGAGGAAGGCGCATGGGCCCCACACCAAAACAGTCTTTTCAAAGCATTTAGTAAAATCTGGATCACTTGTCCACCACGTTTCATTTGAGTCCTAATAAATTCCATTGGTTAAAATTAGAAAGCATTAAGAAGGTAATGAAATTATCGCGTACTTACCCAAAATTTTGTGCCACAAAACTCATCCATAGGATGAGCGGCGGTATCTGCCATGATGTGAAGCTTATAGTCCAAGCAGAACTGTGCACTTTAATATCCGCTTGCTCTTAGTTTATATTATATAATTATAGTATTTCGATAATCGGGCAAGCATCGAAATTAATATGGAAATAAATGTTACAAAATGTACTATGGCCTCTTCTACAGCTACTTATCTGGTATTAACCTAAAAGTGGAGAATTAAAACCAGCTGTTAAAAAGGGTGCCAAAAATATATATATTTTCAATTTTCTATACTGAAGTAAGTAGAAATAATCTTGATGCAATCAATCATATAATTAATTTTCTTATTCGCTTGCGAGTTAATGGTAAATTCCTTAAAGTTTTTTTAGCTTATTATACGGATGTAAAAGCATAAAATACGTATTTATTTGCCTTCATTCCTGAATGATAGTCATAATGCTGGATACACTTGTCACCCTGTGTTATAGTCTACAACATTTCTCTACAAAATTTGTGTGAAACAAACAGAGCTCTTTGCTGTCACTGAATGACATTCCATACTGCTGTTATTTACCAGCCGCGTTTTTTGTTATAATTTTGTGAGATTTGTTGCGGATTTTCTATTTTTCTCTGCGTAGTTCAACAAAGGCAAAATATATAACTCACAAAAATGTCGCGCCCTACAAACTTTCTAGAGGCTGATTCAAGTTTAATTGAAAATAATCTGTTAATTGTCAAAGTAAGGAGGAAGCGCAATATTTGTAGCTCATCAAATCGTCTAATGCAAATTGTATTTTCAGAACGAGGCGGAAGAGGAGTTAAATCAATATTTTGCTGGCGTTCAAGCTGGTGGCGAATCGCGTAAAGAATCTTTAGCACCGCCGCGCGATTACAAGGTTGTGCAACCTAAACCAGGTAACTACATGATGTATGGATATGATTGTGATCAAATGTAGTACCAGGGACACACTTGCATAGTTGCCGAAATAATTTACTATTCGACCTAGTTAAAAATGATTCAACATTAATTTCTCATTTATTGCATTGTCATGATTACTTTTAAGAATTTTGTTTCGTTATCTCAAAATATACAGAGATATCACAAGCTACTTATCTACTGGAGGCAAGACTCGTTTCCCCACATTTTCTTCCACGTTCTTACTACATAGCTTTGAGTTGGCGGTATTTTTGGAACGTAAATAAGTTAGTGTGGCTAGAATGCCGATACCTTTTATCACTGGTCAGATGTATAGAAATTGCATTTAACAGGATAATGACCGAATTATTTAAACTATGTTGCTTTTGAATAATTTATGCTTAAATCCTTCCAACTATATACTTTGTACGTAGGCTGGCTTTAGTATAACGAACCATTCGCTGCATATGACGGCAAATGGCGCCGAGCCGTTGAAGAACTCTTGACAAATAAATGCGAAAGAAATAGTTCCGATACCAGCAAGTCAATATTCTTATTGTCTCCAAAAAATTCCTTGTTGTTAAAAAGATAAAGGGAATGGTGCATCATACTAAAGCCTGCCTTGCTGTACTAGCTACTTTTCCACAAAACACAGAAATGTATACATTTGTAAGTAGCACAAGTTTTCCTACTAAAACTTAAATTTCAATTTGTAGTTGCACTGTAGCGCCATAATTGAAGAGCGTTACGCTTGAGTGAAAATTGTCGGTCAAGCAATAATCTTTTGTTCGCAGCAATTAGGAACGCCTAATACTGTGCTGATTGGTCCAATGCATTTCAATTAATTGTAATTGAAATGGAGTAGAATGTAAAACAAAAAAAAAGATCTGCTTGATCTGAGAGAAGTATAAAACTATTCAGCATTCAGGCATAAAGTATTTACTATGTATATATATGTATGGATATGTATGTATTCCATGATTTCATGAAAATAGATTTCAAAGTGGCATTTATTGCTTTTAGCAACATGGTTCAAACGTATTGGTTTGCTTTGGTTTAATTATAAGTGTGGACGGACGTTCAGAAACTATCATAAATAGTTAAACGCTTTGGTGATGTATGTACATATCTACTTACTATGTATATAGTATGTATAGATGTCAGACGTGGTAATGCAATATATTTCGAAAATGCTGTCAACTTGAGAAATTTCAGAAAGCTTGCATGTAAAGTGTCTTTCGCAAGAGGTTTTTTATTTTCGAAAGGCTAAATGCAGATTGCTAGTGCAGCACGAGCAAGATGAAATATATTTCCGAAATCGAGAAAGGTCTTTCTGGCTTTTTACACATCGAAATAAAATTTCTCTTTCCATATTTAGGTAAATCCTATGCGATTATCCACTTTGGTGGCCATTTTTATTTGTGGTTTTTGTGCGAAAATGCTGTAATAAGTGTTTTCCTAGGAACTTTTTGATTTAGAATAAGAACTTTTTGAAAAGAAAATGAAAAAAAGTTAAGACGTTTCGCCTATAAAAGGCATAACCCGTTTGGTTTGCTTCAAATAAATATGCATATAATAGAGAAACTTGCTCAAAACTCTTTTTTTTCGATTGTAAGCTTAAATGTTAAACTTGTTTTATTCTTTGGATACTTAAAAAGTATAGATTTATTGTTTATTCCGTTTGTTTTATAAATTTATACGATTTTTTTGTATAAACTAGCACGTATTCAACTTGCTAAATACCGGTTTTTCTGTATTCCAGCTGCATATAAACAAAAAAAATATTGTATTTAGCAAAGACAACATAGCCGAAAGCGAGCGAAAATTACATCTACATACACGCAAACATTAAGCACATGTGTACATACCACGCATTTATCTATCGTTAAATAGCAGAATAGCAGAGTCTCTGAAAACAAGTTTATTACTTAATAATAATAAAATTGGCTATATGAGATATGTAGATAGCACGTTGAAGGCAGCAAGCTGACGTTCTTTATTAATTTCAAATCGAACAGTTGTTTGTGTACCGCAATCAACAGTTGTCAATGTGCAAATTTTCTTATATACCTACTCAAGTTCAATGTAGTTTGACATTATGAAATTGCCAGCAAAATATGCATAATTCAATTATTTCAAGCATTGCATTATTGAGAACATTTTAGGTTGTAGTTATACGTGTGGTTGTACATACATATATATGTACATATTTACATACATACATATATATGCAAATAGATAGTGCATTCTTTTCTTAATAACACACACATTTCTTATTTAATATTTTTTTTTGCCTTTATTTCCTTAGTGCGATAGAAGCAGAAATTGGGTCGCTCTCTTGGCTTTTTTTTTTGCAACATAGAAAGAGAAAAATTCCCTTAGCTCTTTGAAGCTAATTAGAGGCGCGTTAATTTAGGGTGCACCAAGCGAACAAATTTGGAAAATACATACATATCGTCAACTGAAATGCAAAAAGGCGTTACAACATCGTAAATGACATGGAAAAAGTCGTGACTAATATTTTAATTTTTTTTTTCATAAAATGATGTGGGGAGTTGTAATTCGATGAAATCCATCATTTGAATCAAAAAGTGAATTTTGAATTTTTTATTAGTTATGATTTTTTCCATTTCAACTATGATGTTTCTTACGTCTTTTTGCATTTCACTATATACTTGTATGCAGTGTCGAAATGAATATTATATAAATGCTATTATTATATTACTTAAAAACTGTGTTTATTGGCGCCATCCAATCCTCTGAAGAGTTCTCTAGATTTGCTGCAGTTTTCCCAACTAAGCGCGCTTTACATACCCTTGACGTGTGTTCGAGGTCGTTTTCTTGTTGGTAAAGACACATAAATATTATCTCTTCTAAGGGAACCAGGGAGGGAAGCATGACTTCTCATAAAGTTGTAAATCTGTTTATTTATTAATTGTATCTAAGTTAACTTAAGCACTTAAAGTTTTGAATTCATGACTCCCCTTGCGCAGAGTTTCCAAAGAATCTATACACATTAGAGTGCATCGCTATCCATGAAAAAAAAAATATATATTATACTGTTTTTAATACCAGCCAAAAGATTTCGGGAAAATATTAATATTCTCTTGAGCTGGACCGCTTTGAAAATACCTCCAAATATTGAGTTTTTTTTAATAAAATTAGTTTTTAAAAATGTTTATTCCAAAAATCACCTCAGATGATAAAAGAGTTTAAGCTTAAAAGGTGTGTATTAAAAGGGTAGAAATTTTATCAACGTAACCAAAATAAAATGGATTTTCATAAGTATTTTTAAATCGGTCTTGTTCACGTAAATAATAATATTTTTCCAGAAATATTTTGGCGGATGTCTTAAAATATAATGAGATTTATAGTTCCGGTTGAAAATCGCATTTTTTTGACGTATGAAAAACGTATATTAAAGTGTTAAACGACTTTTTTGAGTTTGGTTTTAAAATTTTTTTTTACTAAAATTTTAATAAGTACTTCCTAATTTACACATAAAAACAATAAATGGTTATTGCAATTATCGATTTTAAGTGAATTAGCTCCAGTAGTTACTGATTTATCGCAAATTACGTGTTTCTGTAAATTACCGTTATATGGCAGGTGGGCGTGGTTATTGCCCGATTTCAAAGATTTTCAACAGATTTCTTAGCTAGCGCATACCCAAGCCTCGCACCGAGATACAGCATTTCATCATAAGTGGGCGGGGTCACGCCCATTTTCCAAATATTTCATAACAATATTATTTTCTACCACAATTCTACTCCACATACTAATTTTCAACAATGTACATACATTTAATATTTACTGAAATATCGCAGTTTTTGAATTTTTCGAAAATACCGTTATATGGGAAGTGGACGTGGTTACACAGTCCGATTTTGCCCATTTTCAATACCAACCTACCTTGGCTAGAGGGCAACCAACATACCAAATTTCTATCTCAATTTTTGCAATCGTATAATGAAATGAAATTACTTGGGCTAAAAATATTATTGATTGCCCCGCTGGCGTCGCGTGGTGTGACATATCGAGGAAAACTCATTTGTCAATAGATGACTAACTCCCTCAACATTGACTATTCAAGTATCGTAAAAACTTTAATTTCGGTAAAATCCCCGTTCAATTTCAAATTATGTTTGTATGTACGTATGCATCTAAGCTCTCACGTGTGTTTCGTTTATCTAATAATGAGATTTGAGCTAAAATTCCATTAGCAAATTATGGCTGGTAGACACTTGTCGAATAAATTCGCTATCAAACAAAAATTTATTCTTCGACTAATTTTCAATTACACTTTTTTATTCTTTTTAACTCTTAATTATTTTTGGTGCTTTTCATAGGATTGTTTTAACTTCGTTGTGCTTTTCTATATTTTATTTATTTATTTATTTACTATTCGTATCAAGCTTGCAACTGAAATAATGCACTTCAGTATATGGACCTGTGCATGTGTCTACCTATGTACATATTCGCATTATCACATATTCACACAATTATTTGTTGCAATTTATAATTTGAAACTATTGTAATAGTAGCTGTATTGTTGATTGTTTACACTTTTCTCTCTCATTTGCTCACTTAATTAGGTTATTTTCGTAATATAATGAAATTTACTTGGTGAAATAGTGTAGATTGATCACATACATGCATACATACATACATACATACTTAAATACATGTAGAAGCACTCAATTTAAGTATATAAAATACACTTATCAACACAACTATAATGGGGTTACAAAGAGTCCTTAACTTTATTTCTAATCTTTTTTGTATGTTTATCAAATATATTGTGTGAATGCATGTATGTACTAATGTAGATATGTCTGCGCATATGATATACCCAAAGATTAAAGGGATTAGCAACAACTTGTCACAGCGTAGCGTGCACATGCAAGTACATACATACATACATATCGCTCACTTGCTTGCAAGAGTGTCATAATCCAAAAAACTTAAGAAAAACGGTTTCAATGTTTACAGTTTACAT